CCAGTTATGAATGACTTTCTGCGGAAGTTTCCAGGGAACCCTGGGTCCCTGGTTGGGTTTTTCTCCCCTTTGGAAAGAGCCACACCATGGCTCCCCGCAGGCCAACTACAAATCAAATGCTGTGTGTCATGTTTTGACATTTCCCCATCAGAATTCATCTATCAGTGAGGCAGAGTTCATGTGACTAATCTTGTTTGACTTGGCATGAGGTGAACTGTAGGTATGCTTCCTATTTTGACTAAAATTATTAAACATACCAAAGGGAATAGCCCACGTGTGTTAGTCATCCCTGGGTACGCATAAGCACACAGGACTGCACTCGCAGGATAATGGATCGCCACGATATCTCAGGGTTAAAGCACACACTTGGTTTGCATTCTTGCTTCGCTCGGAGATTTCTGTCACTGTCAGGAGAGTTTTGGGTTTCCTCTTCCCTGTGCCTGGATTCTCCATTGGCACAGATGGGAATTTCACAGGACAATATATGGGACTAAGATGACAGTAGCAGAAGGAGAAGAATGCATTTTATACGCTGCCCGATGGAGCATTTTTCTTGACTGTTTCTGTTATAGTCATTGACTATTGCTGAGAACAGTGGATTTGCAAAGCCGAAAACATATGTTCTCTAGAGGCCAGCTTTTCAAAAACATACCTTTACCCTTACATGTCATCACACATTACGCAAAAGAATAACTGTAGATCCATCTACATAATTTTAATTTTGTGGTTAGCTGGTTATAGAAGCATACCTTCCTGACCCTGCTGAAAGTTCAGACGGTGTGTGGTGCTTTCCCTTCAAGTCCACAGAATGAATGGCAGTTCTTCCAAAAGATGGGCAGTGCTTTCTTAAGGAAACATAGTGCACACATTAGCTCCTAACAAGACGAAAAGTGTGATGACCTCTTTTATAGTTCACGTTCACACGTTAGTCATAATCTGTAGAGCAATAAGCTGTTAAAATGTGGCATTAGGGAGAATTACCTGAAGAAGAAAAGTAACCCATAAAGTCCGTGTATGTGAATGACCCAGTGCCAATGGGTATCACAGCACCTTTTTGGTGCCCTGTTCATTGTTTTGTTGACGGAAAAAACCTTCAATTATTTTGTGTCCATTTTATTATCTATAAAAGTATATAACCTGACGGAATTTACTCACAAATCCTGGTGGAGAGCGGGGCTTTTCTTGCATTGTTAGCTCTGTCTCCTAATCTATAGTCTGGATGGCAGTTGCCACTTCCTAACAGCAAGTTCTCCTTCATAAAGAAAAGTATGGATTTGAGCTATAAAGTGAGCACAAGCATTTTACTATTACTCCGGATATGTCTACTTGCTGAGTTTACATGGAAAGTCTAGCAGGCGGTGTTATTAAATAGCCGCAGAAATTAGCCCCAAAACAATTATCTTGGTTTAGCTAGAGGGGAAAAATGACACCAGAGGCTTAATGAAAAGAGCATTCGAGGTTTTGTGATTGAATATCGGTTGGACACCTCTATAGCTATTAACCCTTATGGGCAGGATTTCAGATTTTTTTTATTATTTTTAATTGAATTGTTTTTGGAAAACAACAGATTAAAAATTGTCTTCTCCCCTGTGACAGTCAGGGATCTAAGGGCAAACTGTGAAATAATGGGCTCTTTCAAAGTTTGCTTTAAACCTCACTGTACTGCAAGGTTCAACATAAATTAGTGTTTCATATTTAATAGATTTATAGAACTACTAAGCAGGGGAGAATGTTGCCAGTAACATAATCCACCACCCATCCTTATAATCGTCTTTTTTCCCCAACACCCAGGGCTTTCTTTGTATTTTGTAACAAATGGGATATGAATTAAAGCTTCTTAAGCTCTCAGGAGAATATTCCAGAGTTACTAGATTTTTTTTTTTTACATTCCCCTCACCCCCTCTTATATCACCACAACGTTAGCATTTTCAGGATTGCTTTCTTGCCGTAGTTTTTTTTTTTTACCACTCCAAATAGTGTATCTTTGGTATTTGCTATTCTCAAATATTTGTTGGCTCTTATCATGTCAAATCTTAAAAGTTCCTTAGTCAGTTGCTTTAATCTTTCCTCCCGAGCCCCTTTCCCAACCGTGCCTGGCCCGTCACCTCATCACTCACAACAGTTTTCTCTCAACTCTCTCCAACCGTCCCTGTACTTCTGGAATCAAGCTTATCCAAGCTAAATGCGCTTTTCCAGGTGGCTCATATATCACTCCCCGAGACTGAGATGGGATGGCTCTTTGTACAGAGCCCAGATGCTCCTGGGGTTCATCTTTTTTTTTTCCCCTGATCATTGTCAGCACATTGACTCCGAGTGTGTTTGAACATCTCCCACTGACTCCTGGGGGAGTCTTCCTGTAAACAAGCCATGTTCTACCTTCTGACCTGGGGAAGACTGGACGGCAGAGAAGACAGGATTTGGCAAGAACTTCGTCACGAAACACGTCCAGGTACCCCATCGCTTCTGCTGCCATCTGCAGAAACGAATCTATTTTCTGGGCATTCCCCTTTGTGCTAGCGGTGCTTTATGATGGGAAATATGACCGTGTATGCAGACAGCACTGCTGCTGAGGCCATCAGAGTGAAAAGGGGAGAACTCAGCTCGGCTGAGGGGCCTTGGTTCTCCTTTCTGCATGACAAATGGTTGGAAAACGTCCTTGGAAAGGCCCTCACTGAAAGGAAAGCAGGGCTTGCTTAATGCCGCCGAGCTGGTTCTTCACATCTGGTCCACTCATCCACTCTAAATCATGTAAGTGTTTCCCTGATCATCAAAACAGCTCATAGCAAATGTAACATTGGGCACAAACAACAGATGAAAAGAAAAGAGGAATTAAATATGACACTCTGTAACTTTAGTTATATTTAAATTTCTTCAGGCAAGCTCATAAAGAGTACTACTCTAAGCTGAGCAAGAGAATACAAATCTGTAACTCCAGCTACCCATGAGGCCAAGACAGGAGGACCACAAGTTTAAGACCTGGGAAGGCTGTAGAGTGAGCTCAGGCCAATTTCAGCATCTTAGTGAGACCCTGTCCAGATCCAAAAAGACAGAAGGACGTAGCTCAGTAAAAGCAACTTACTTAACATACTTAGGTTCATTCCCCAGAAATATAAATGAATTAACTTACTACTACTCAACATAAAGGGCTATTTAGTACAGTCAATAGATGAAAATAAGCTTCACCCAAAGGGACTTTAAGCATGTAGTAAAACATCCTCCAATACCTGCACACCAATAAAGGAAATCCAGTGAACTTAAGCACCCAATGAATGTGTCTTCCAATTTTGATATACCAATATAAATATATGCTATTTTGCAAGATTCTTAGAGACTGCCAGTTATAATAAACCCCTCTCGATGATCTGATTATAGCACTTCAGAAAGTAAACTAAGTCAAATTTGAGCTATTTATTTTTGCTGACAGATGATAACACACATTTATGCATATGGAAATATGACTCTCATCTTTGAACTCCAGTCAAAATTTGACTCAAAACCTGCTTTTTATCCTCAGGGTCACTTTGGTGCCTAGCAGGCGATAACAAGTAAAAAGACCACCAAATTTCTTTTCAATTTATGCATGTTCAATTCTGTCAATATTCCCCGAAGTTGTACATCAGAACCACAGAAGCGACCCATGTTACCTTGAGCAAGAAGGGGAATATGCTAGCTTATATAGCTTACAGATATAACCTTCAGTCACTGTGGCTAAGGGTCTTTCTCCCTCCATCTCGTACTCATGTGATACCCCCTAAGGAAGAAACACTCCTCCAATTGCCTCTGCTCTCTGTAATTTCAACAGCCATGAGAACATCTCCCCTTTACATTCCCAAAGTCACAGGCCTGGCTCTTACTGGCCTGAGCTGCGCTGAGCTCTAAGTCCTTCGATTAATGGTCAGTCCTGTGGGATCATCTGGGTTTTACTGAGGCTCCATAGTTTGATCCAAGAGAATGTTCTGTGATGAGGATAGTCCTATGTAACTTGAATCCCCCAGTACTGTAGCCATTAGTCATTCACTGCTATTGTTGCTTGAAATGTGCCCAGTGTAGCTAAAGAAGCATTGTGAATTTGTATTAGAAAATTTTAATTTGAGTAAAATAGACATGATTGTATATACAGTTTTAGAGTTTGATTTTTGGAGCAAGTCCACTTGAGTTTATAGCTTGGGAAATTGGTTTGGGAGATCCACTCCTATTTTTCCACCCCAGAAACATCTAGATGCCCAAAAGTGATCAATATAACACACATCCATCTAAATACTCCAAACATGAGGCATTAACAACTTTTGAGGTGGTGGTTAACATCATGTAGCATATACTTTTTTTGTTGTTGTTGCTTTGTTCTTCCTTAGTTAAAACGAATACAGAAGGGATTGTAGACAGGTAGTTGGGTCTTTATGATGCACCCATCATAAGTTTTTGGGCATCTACTGCCTACAACTGAATTATTGTTTATTTACAAACACTCATTTTGGAGGGCATGCGGCTAACAAACTGCTGATGCTTCTCACTAAGTAGCTCAGGCTAATCTCTAATGTCTAACCCTCCTGCCTCTGCTTCCTGAGTGCCACAGTTATAGGTGCTCTTTAAGTTCTCACCAACCACCATACCCAGGCAATAATCTATAAGGAAAATCTGAAAGAGAATAGATGGGACTAAATTTAAGTTCATGCATTTTCCCTGTGATGAGCTCAACTGAAGACCTGAAGAAGAATCATCTTCTGGGCACAAACATGCACAACGATATTCCTGCCATAGTGCTATTCCTGGGTCATCCCTAGCTACGAAACCACCTAGTGACTTGGATGATAGCAAGGGTTATGTGACACCCTGCCTTCAATATATAAACAAGCTAAGAGAAAGAAGAGAAGTCATCTACAATGCCAGCATACAGAGATAACCATCTTGGACTTTGGTCAGTGTTTTCTGATGGTGCTAATACTAATTTGAGTTCTTTTGGTAATGGCTTTTTGGTTCTGAGAATTGAGTCCAGAGCTCACCTGCTGAGTCAGTGAAACTACACTTCCCTTCTGGGTTCTTCAAAGGCAGAAACCAACTGCAGAGACTCCTTAGCAACTCCTTCTCTTGACCCTGAAACATCAGAACACCATGCTTAGGGACAGATTGGTGCCCCACCACAAGGATTCAATGCATGTCTGAGAATGACTACTCTGTTAAAAGGATGTGGGCCTTCTTAAGCATTCTGGCAGGGATTTTATTTACTGCTGAATAGCATAGCCTGGAACAGTATCTGACATCTGGGATACATTCAATAAGTATTTGTTGAGTGTGTATTGATGCATTTCCCTTCAAATTTCAGACAGGCAAGCACGAGATGAACTCATTTCTTTAAATCCTCATCAGCTCTGAGACTTTTGATTTATCTTCATTGTTGTAGACAGAGGATGGTATCTCATTACAGATTTATTTTAACTTATTCCTCTTGAAAGTACAAGTTGTGTCAAATCATGCTTATTTAGGAAAAAGCAATTCCTATACACTAGGAAACTTATAGCTTTGAATTTTGGCTAAATGTCTCAAAACTTTAAAGTTTTGACTAGAGAAAATCCAATTATGTGCTTGGAATCAGATTCTAGTTTACTAAATACCATGTGACCTATAGAAGTCTCTGGTCATCTTTTATCTCATTATTGCTTCTTGAGATATAAACAACCCATGGGAGGCTAAGGAAGGAAAATCATACCTGCTTAGGCTACAGAGTCAGTTCAAAGTCTGCCTGAACAACTAAATAAGACCCTGTCCAAAATGAAAAGTAAGATGAGTTCTAGGAGGGTATGGCACAGTGGTAGAGAGCTCTTACCTACCATGTATGAGGCCCTGGGTTCAATCCCAAGGACATATATGTGAGTTTATGCTTTAACAAATTTATAAGTAGAGAAACCTAAAAGAGAAATGTAGTATTTGTCTCTGATATGTAACTCTCCTTCCTTCATCAGAATCTTACCTTTACTCCATGTCCTAAATTTAACTCATAATCTAGTACTTAGGCAAAACTTCAAATTATTATGTGAACTCTAGAGAGACTAGAAATGTAGCTCAGTGGAAGAGCACTGGCATCGCATACATGTGTGCACAAGGGTTTATGCCAGCACTTCCCCTCTGCCCCCCAAAGAGGAAACCTCCAAGTTCAGAGAGATGAGGTAGGAACTCCACACAGATCTCAAGAGGGACACTTTATGTGGCAACCTCTCTAGAACATCTGCTCACTTCCCTTGAAATCATCCCCTCTCCTCATGTGTTTGCCCTTACTCAGTTTCCCTCTGGGCGCCTCTGGCTTTTCCTACTGTTCTCCCGCAGAAGCCTGGATTTTTGTAGTCCTTCATAATCTCCTGTTCCAAGTTCGCGAGAGAAAGTGAATCAGGTGTAGGTGCCTCCCCTCTGCCTCCAATCCGAAATACCCTGATGCCAGGGAAGAATCATGAAGTTCAAAAAGACGGGCCAAGAACTCATCACTGACGTGTGAATACCTTTCAAAGACGTGCAAGGATTACAACTTCCTCTGAAGGGCTGTGTCACAGTGCCTGCATTTGTCAGATGCTGGTGTACAAAGGGAGCCAGAAAGGGCTTCCTATTGGGTAGCAGTGATTCGATGACCTGGGGAATATATAATTTAAATAATCGTCCAGTCATTACTGTTTTTGTTTTCGTTATTTATGTTAATCAGGGGACTCCAAACACACCAGTTTTAATTCTAATGCTAACATTTTCTGTGTTTACTTTTCAATTTAATTGTTTTGCTTTTTGCCTATTCTAGATGTCTTTGATTCTACAGAAATAATTATAAGAACAAAAAGAAACCCCCAAAAGTGATGTTTCTATTCTAAATATAAGACCCCTCTTTGCAGTTATTTTCAAGTAGGCATCTATATGTAGAAAATTTAGTAGTTGCTTTCTTATAATACCTTTTCCTTAAAAATATCTGATATTAAAATATTAAATAAAGAAATAACCACCTCCTGCAACGCCACATCTCAGGCAGTGTTTGAGATAACTCACTATTTGTGCATTCTGTAAGACGTACAATGATGAAACTGGAGAGGGCTTGTCTAGCATGCCATCAGAGTCCTCAAGCCTAGCGTTGCACAAACCAGGTATGGTGGTGTGGGTCTGTACCTTGGAAGCTGGGGGAAATAGGGGTTCAAGGTCAACCTTAGCGACTTAGTGAGTTTGCGACTAGCTGTGTTACATGAGACACTGTCTAAAGCAAACTGAAAGCAATAACAAAATGATTAACTTGAATTAGTGATTTTATTATATAGCCATTTCTCCCACTTTTTTTTCTTTGCATCCCATGATTTTTTTTTTAAATTCCATTTTGATTTTGTTGTAGGTTAAGTCATTTTCCCTCTATCACTTAATTTCTGAAGTTAATCTTTCCAATCTTGTTTAGAATCTATCTCTTAAGAAAACAGAAATAGCCTGATGTGGTGGTGCACACCTTTAATTCCATCACTGGGGAGGCAGAGGCAGGCAGATCTCTGTGAGTTCAAGGCCAGCCTGGTCTACAAAAGAACTGTCCTTGGTACACAGAGAAATCCTGTCTCAAAACATACTCTCTCTCTCTCTCTCTCTCTCTCTCTCTCTCTCTCTCTCTCTCTCTCTCTCTCTCACACACACACACACACACACACACACACACACACACAAAGAGAGAGAGAACAAAAATACAACTTACTCAATTTACACCTGTGAACACTTGAGCACTACCCTGTTTAAGCCAAGTCATGTCCATTGTTAACAAGGAGCAGTCTGACCACATTCTCTAGTCCTTGCAGTTAGTTTATCATGAATATTCAGGAATAGTCGTGTTGGGTTCCTTTTCTTCTGTTGTTCAGATTTGTCTCCAGGTTGTGTACACAAAAGTGAAATGAAAGCCTTCCTTAATGACATATGGGGCTCACCTTTCACCTCAGTGAGCATCTAGCTCAAAGTCACCTAACGATGTCACATCTACCCATATGCTCTTTAATCCTGAGATCCTGGGAAGCCACGGCTGTCAGCACAGAGTCAAGCAACTGCCTAGCTCTGTGGTCTCCTGTTAAGAGAAGCTTTTTCTTGTGAGAAGCTTTCCCGCCAGCCTAATTCCAGAGCCGCATCAGTCCCAAATAAACACACAGTAGGCTATATTAATTATGAAGCTGTTGGCCTTTGTTTGTTTCTTACTGGCTAGCTCTGATTTAAGTAATTACCCCATAATTGTTAATCTAAGTATTTCTCTTACCGGAGAATGGTTCCGGGCTTCCTACACCCATGGCGTTACATCTTGACTCTCTCTGTGTTTCTCCTTCCCAGAGTCCTCCTGGACTCCTAGTCCCACCTATCTAGATTCCTATTGGCCAGACAGTCTTTATTGACAAATGCACAGGACATCCCCCAACAGTCTCCAAACTGCTCTAGCTAAAAGATCCATAATACGCCATAAAATGTGGATGAAGAATTCCATGGTAGCACATATCTTTAACCAACTGCTCTATTTTATTTCCTTTTTCAGAAAACTGCCGCCATGTCCACAGAGGCTGAGCTGCTAGCTCTACTTGATGTTAGAAAGATTTATATGCAAGCGTCTGATTTCCTAGTTATAATCGCGCCCACTCTAGTTCAAAATGGGCAATGCTTCCTTTATTTAGTTTCCACGCAACGCTGAGTGCTTCAAGCAAGGCAAAAACTACTCACCTGAAAAATGTAGTCTTGATGCAAGCACCTCCTACCTTGAGGATTTAGATAACTGAAGGTTTATGTTGCTTTTTTTCTCCTTATATTGATTGGCTTGTTTCTCTGTTTCTCCTAAGGAAGAGAGACAGAACCTGTAAGTTCAAAGGGAACCCCATTCTAAGCTGTAACAATCACCCTTCCATGATTCGGGAAAGACAACATTATAAGTGTATTTCCCCAAGATGCAGTAAAACATTCTGTTTATTATGACTTCCTCAAAATCTCCCTCACAGATGGTTATGTCATGAACAATGACTCAGAAGGCCTGTGTGGGCAAGTACAATAATTCGACTTTAGGAAATCATTATCTGAGTCAGCCTCCCTCGTAGTAGGACTCAAGGTTATTATTTACAGAAATGAACCTATGTGTAATGTTTAATACACTCTTAGATCACTGGCACATATACTATATCATGTATTCTTGTTTAAGTGTTTCTATGTTACATGCATTCAAGAAAAATAATTTCCATGGAGCTAGAGAGAATGCTCACACACAATTAAAAGCACTTGGGGACTCTTGCAGATGACCAGAGTTTGACTTCCAGAACTAGCCTCTGTAGGCAACCCATTCACATGAACATATATATGCACAGGCCAAACACACACACACACACACACACATACAGAGAGAGAGAGAGAGACAGACAGACAGACAGACAGACAGAGGGAGAGAGGGAATTTTTTAAAACCTTTATTGAAAAACATTGTCCATGTGATATCTTTCTCGCCTTCATTAAAAAATTGTTTTGTTTTGTTTTGGCTTTTGGGGGGACAGGATTTCTCTGTGTAACCCTCATTGTCCTGGAACTTGTCTGTAAACCAGGCTGACCTTGAACTCAAGATCTGCCTGAGTCTGTCTCCTGAGTGCTGGGATTAAAGGTGTGTGCCTTCACACCTGGCTTCCTTCTTCAAAATTTGATTTAAAATTTATGTTCAGCAAGAAACATTGCAAAACAAATGTCATGAATTTGTTACTCTTTCTGAAACTACCTTATTCAAATACTCTATAGTTCTTACTATAGCAGATATATTGTGCTCCTATCAATTTTTAATTGCTTTGTGATCTGGAATATGTGTGTGTGTGTGTGTGTGTGTGGTCAGTTATAACCTTATTTCACAAACGCTCCAGTCTGCATCTTATTTACTTATTTATTGATTGATTTTCACTGAACCTAGGGCCTTGTGCACGCTGAGCAAACCCTGCACCACCGAGCTCTGTTACCAGCTCTTTGCATTTTGATGGTGCTTTGTTTCAGCCTGAGGCAGCATGGCCTGGCTGTCCTGGGTTTTGCTTTGATTTTGAGTTTTTCTCAATGACTTTTCCCACCGTTTATCACTATTGACTAAGAAACAAATGTATTTTCTCCAAGGGGGGTGTGTTTATACTCCTTAGGACTGGTTCCTTCATTAAAGATCACTTACTAGTGTCTAATACTGTGCACAGTCCCTTGAGACAAGGGATAGAAGAGAGAGACAGAGCCCTGCGGTGCTTGTGGTCTAGAAGAAGATGCCTTCATCAAAGTACTTGAGGTCTGATGCTAATATGCTCTCTAGAGACACTAGAGTATCGCTGGCTTGTCTCTCTTGATTTTCTCCGTAGAGCCAGCTCATTGCTGTTTACACAGTCAAGGGGCCTGCAGGTTTCATTGACTATGAGAAATCCATACTTTCAAAATGAAGCCAGCAGTGGGTCACATAGTCCTTATTTTAACCTTGGAGGAGGTCAGAGTCAACGCAGAGGAAAGGAATGCTGCCTGCTGCCAACTATTGTTAAGAGAACACAATGTGCCATCCACCCCCGCAGCACTCTTTGATGTGTTCCCTAAAATCTCTACGTATGCCAGCTGTAAGAAATCCATCAGATGAATAGCTTGACAATAGATGTAGGGGAAATTATCCCCGTCAAAGAAATGCTTGAGATGAGGTGCACTTCTTTAACTGGGCTGTTCTTAGATACTGTCATTAATACTTTATGTTAATTGTACATGCCAATATAACCCTAAGGATTTAATGATGACCAAAACGGTGGTAACAGAAACAGTATTAAAATATCCTTTAACCTAATTCCTTCACCAAACTCCCCAAACAATGAGACAATGAACTACATTCAGCCACAGCTGTGATTGTCGTAAGTTAGTATCAAGATGATAACACTTGAGAGTTCTGGGCCTTTTGAAGAAGATGCAGCTGGGTGGTGGTGGCACATACCTTTAATCCCAGAACTCAGGAGGCAGAGGCAGGTGGGTCTTTGGAGGCCAGCCTGGTCTACATAGCAAGTTCCAAGACATCCAGAGCTGAACAGAGAAACCCCTGTCCCAAATATATATATATATATGTGTGTGTGTGTGTGTGTGTGTGTGTGTGTGTGTGTGTGTGTATGTATATATATATATATATAAAATCTTCATGCTTATGAAAAGTAGCTGTTAGAATTAGCTAGCAGAGAATGCTAGAATAGTTGAATTAAAACACAAGTCAACAATAGGCCTCACACTGAAATAAAATAAAATGATCCATCTTCGGATGTCTACTTCACTCTCTTGCCTAAAATATTCAGTTTATCGGCTACTTATTTTTTCTCTGCTTTCAACTTGATCACACGAAAGCAAGGCGTCCCAGTGACGGGGAAAACCCAACAGAGTTTACCTTGTCCTTGTGACTTCCTTGTTTTGCAGCATGTGCTGTGGTAAACAGCCATCCTCTCTCTCTCCTCAGACCTCTAGTCAGGAAGAAACTGAGGTTTAGAGTTGTGTAAATGACCGTCCCTTGAAGGCACAGCACCAGGAGGCAATTCAGGAGTCAGGTGATGGCCACCATCAGGTGTGACAGCACTCCAGAGACAAAGGTGGGTGGGGTCTTTGTGAGTTGAGGCCAGCCTGGTCTACACAGAAT